CGACAGGTTCACCTGAGACAGCAGCAGCGTATGATAAACCAGGTACGGTGGATGAACCTGGAATTGGTTGGGCCGCAGAAGCAGCGAGACGATGCTGAACTGTCCGACTGTTGGGAACCATTTGGATACTCGCATGGTTGGCTTGTTGGTTGTTGAGCGGAAGCGGGGCTAGGTTCGAAACATGTCGACGGGGCTGGAGAGCTGGGTACTGGACTTCCGTGAGTACAGGAGGCGGATGATGATTACGGAGGCGACCGACCTGGTTGTTGATTGTAGCCTTCCGACGGATATTAATGAACTCCACTCGCTTGGGACATCGGCGATTGGAGGCTTGATGGTTTCCTCTGCAGTTGACACACGTTGGCTCTATGTCATCAACTTGCTTACAGGACGCAGTTGAGTGAGTTCCAGCACACTTGCCGCAGTTTGTCTTCATATGGCAGTTTTTGGTGCCATGGCCATAGGAGAGGCAGTTTGTACACTGCGTAACATCATGATGTTGGGGTTTGTAATGCTCCCAACTGATGATGACCTGAAACAGGTCCCGGATTTTGGATCTCAGAGCCGCAAGACTGGTGGATCCCTTCGTGAAGTGCACCAGGAACAACTGGTCACGGAAGCTGGTATTGTTGATGGAACGGCGGTTCATCTGGAACACGGCCACAGGTTGGAGCCCAAGCCGCTAAAGCTCGGACTTCACCGCAGCTACCTCGAACCACGGTAATCCACGCAAAACCGCCTTCAGTGGCTTACTCGATGGCAGATCATGCGTGAAGAAGTCCACGTTGTTTTCTTTCAGGAAACATCCTATTTGTTTATACTCCTCCAAGCTGGAGCACATGATTTTGGTACCGATGCTGCAAAGCTTAAAGCGAGGCAGCAGCTTGTGTTTTGTCAGTTCGGCACCTAGCTTGGCAACATACTTCACCGGCGTGAAAAGCGGGGGAATTCGCTCTTTTCTTGCAATGGGAGCGGCGTCACCATCGCCATTTTCTTCCGGGAGTATTGCATACTGGTTGGCTTGCAGTACTCGTTTTCCGGCGTCATCCTGCGACGCTCTGGGCTTGATTAGCACCTTCTTTGAAGGGCTCGCTGCTGGCTTATTGGCACGTTTACGCACCATTTGTTTCGTGTTTGCAAGTTCAATTAAACTTGCCAGAACGCGAGAAGGTGGCGACACTTCCACGGCGCAACGCGACAGCACAAAACGAAACAAAATCGAAACGAGATCTCGAGCGAAAAATACGGACTGAACAGCTCAACAGTCGAGCAAAGAATGAGCAGAGGAAGGAGAGCAGCGCTGATTTATATATTTTCAGGTTCAAGCTGAATGATGTGCAACCAAGGGGTATTCGTTTATGATGACTGGGTTTGGGAAAAAGGCTTATTTCATGAAAACAGTGATAAAATAATCATTTGTACATTTTCAAAAGTTTAATTACAGAAAAATTGGAAAAATATTTATTTCAACAGGTTTGTAATGTAATATCCTATCGATTGGCGTATTTGGATTTTAATTTCATCTATAAATGACAAAGTTACAAGCGTTCAAAACCTAACACTCCTTCAGAACACATATTTTTTTATTTGCACCCCAGTATAGTCGACAAAGACGTAGTTCTACGTCAAAACTTTTGGTGAAATCTCTGTTTCGCCTCCTCAAGGAACAACACAGGTTCTCGACGACAGAGTTCAACGAGCCATTGCCTCATTTCTACGCTGAACTTCTTATACGCCTGCAATCAATGGCCGATGGTCGCTAACGATTTCCCGTAGATCCGGGCGAGTTCCGTTCTTGGAATTCCCAGGAAATAGTATCCATAGAGCGTATGATAGACGGTGTTGGGCGAGGCATGTTGATGGCGTACCGTTTGTATAATCGAATTGACCATTGCTGCTGAGGATAAATATTTCACGCTAAAACTTCAAATGTACTCAATCGAAATGATCGAAATCCAAATTTTTCAAAGAAAACAGTTTGTTTTGTGTAGAAATTTCAAATGTCAAGTGTCAAAGTCATGATTGACACATTGGTCGGAAGAAAGTTCGGAAGTCGGAAGTCAGACTTCCGAACTTTAATTTAGTGCTGGCGACACAATACACATAGGGGAAATGGCTCTAATGTTGGCCTATGGATCTAAGATTGGGTCCATCGCTAAAAATCTGCTATTTACCAATTTTATCTAGATGAACGCGTCATTGGGACGGTACTAATGGATATTTTTGATTGCTATTGAAAATTTAGCAGATGGCTGAATTTCTGAATGGGCCCAAATCAGGGGCATTTAGGCCGACATTACATCCATTTCCCCTTTCCAGGATCCACTTTTAATAGCCTTTGGTTTTTCGTATCTCATTACAGGAGAGTAACGTACTTAAGGGATGCTCCCATTTTAGATCACTGTGCAGTACATACCTGTTTTTGTAGAACGGTAAATAGGCTGAATTTATAAAGAGACGACATGTCAAAATTATCTGTCAAAGTCATAGGAAGAGTTATTCCAATCCAACAGAAAACCCGGCGAATAGATAAGATGTCGCCTCTTTACCCAATCCAGTCTCTTTTGTAAGTATATGGTAGGAAGGTTTAAAACGCTCCCTGGCAATCCAAGTGTTTATTGGGACAATTCTGCTGTGCTCTGCTCAATTGATCAATTGGTCAAATTTTCAACCAACCCCAGCATGCTTTTGGCGCTGGGCGATCAAATGTTAAACATTGTGGTATCCACAGCATTGTTCTGTCAAAACCTCAGCATTTTCATTGATCCATTGTCGCAAATAAATGTTAAAAATAAAACTCTAAAAAGCACTCTTCCGGGGTAATTTTTTTCACCATTTTGTATATTAAGGATATTGGGCAAATGGCGCCGAGTAATTGAAAAACCCAGAATTTTAGTGTTATAGAAAAACAATATTTACTTCTTTGTTTCCTGCCACTGAAGAAAATTAAATGATTAAAAGTTATTTCAAATTCCCTAAGCAACGGATATACGTGATTATTCCGTTAAAGTGAAAATGGTAAAAAACGAGCTGCTTCTCCTTAAGGGAGCGTATTACATATGTTGATAATTGGTTTTTAATATGTAAAAAAAATTCATGCAAATATTTTCACACTGGATAGCATGTAATTATTGGTTGTTGGCACATGTTAGCATTCTACAATTTGGTCTTATTTTTCCAGGGGAATTAAATGCATTTAAACATTTTGTTTATCATTATTTTAGAATGTTTTAGTCAAAGCATTTAAAATGTGATCGCGCACGGGCAGAACTTTTCCTACGTTGTGTTTACGGATTTATGAATAAAAGACAGTTCTTTTGACCGTCCTGCCATGGCGGAGGCAGATGAACTACTATATTTATTGATACAGCTGGCAGGGTAGGAACACAGGTAGTGGACGTTTGCATAAACAAAAAGTTATTGGTTGCCTTAACATTTTCAGCATCAAAATTTAAGCTGACATGGACATTAACTCTAAAATGTGATATCTTTTGATTGGCAAACGCATGAAATATTTCTTATCTTTCTATCTGTACGTAACAAAGAAGAATTTACGGATCAATTGGCGGTCGATATAGATCTTGGAGGCAAGAGTCTGCAGCACCTAACAACGAACCGATTATTGGGAGTTGGCCTGTATCCTACGATTTATAATGTGGTATACAAACACAAAGTAGCTGGATTTATCCGGTTTACGCTTGAAAAATATTTTTTTTTCCATGATTTGTTTTCCGTTGATCTTGTTTTCCGTGCTGAGCACCAATGCTACCGACGCCAGGGAGGCCCTACCTATCGACTCATCAACTCATGAACCGGGGACCAACGGCTTTACTTCCCATCCGAAGGATGGCGTGATCAGAGAATTTATGCCTCAGAACATCCTGGCGGCGCTGACTGGGATTGAACCCAGGCCTGCTGGGGTGAGAGGTAATCACGCTTACCACTACACCACCGGCGCCGCTGCTTGAAAAATGATACAAATACAGATTATTAAAAGTGCAAATCTACACATACCATACCGTACCTTCCATATTCGTACTAAATTCTGACGACCTATCTGTCAAATGGCCTTTGTAAGGTTGATGCTATATACCATTACATTATTGCACTCAAAAAAATCCCCTCGTCATCATCATGTGTCTCACACTTAATTTTGCACTTAATGTGAAACACATCCATTTCATGTGTGAATCTTATGCTTTGAAGTATGCGTCAACACTATTGGTTCGAATTGTGACAAACTTGGAGTCGATGTGCCTCACATGGTGATATCATTAGCTTTGCACATCATAGTTCAATGTTCTATAATATTCTACTTTATCGACTTCTGCTTTACCGATTCAAAAATTGAACCGACAAACATGCAAACAAAGCTTCCAGAGGTCGTGGCATACACATGTCTTTTTTTTTAATGGGCCTTATTTGGGAATTGATCTCGGACTGTTGAGATGTGCTGCTGCAGTTGTCTTCGTTCGATCTCACTGGGCCACGGTTGCTCTCATATATGAGGGTGGTTGATAAGAGTGAAGTCACAACTCATGTTTTCGGTGTTTACCTTCAAAACAAGCAATTCACCATTGAAATGCAAAATACTCCAAATCCAACTGATTTGAACAGAAGTGTGATTCAATGTGCAATACACTTGAATTGGTAGAGAAAGTTATCAACATTTCAAAGTTTGAAACACTAGTAATCATCGTGTATAACACATTGAAACATAATGAAATACATTTAAATTAAATGTGATTGTGCATATGAAAAATCCGGTGTTTTAAACACTTCGATCAGACGTGTGGATTTTTTCAGTGTGTATTATTCGTGTTCGGTAGAGAAAATCTCAATGCAATAAAACGATTGTGTAGGTTGCAAAAACAATTTTGATTTTTGATAAGTTATATTTGTATAAAGGTTAAATTGATATTCTTTGCTCTGTGAATATAACTCCAAGACACCGATTATAGAACCATAATTAAATATCGGAATGCATGTGCTCAAAAAGTTTACTCTGAAAACTGACTAAGAATCATACATATCGAATACAAAGTTTTATGAATCTGGAAAAAAAAGGATGTGCGCTTAAAACTGATATTAAACCATCGTTTCCAAACTTACAGTCAGATAAGCGGACATGTTCAGTGGTATGAAGATTGCCGTTAAAGTAGCTGGAGCTTGAGCAGCATTTAGAAACAGAAGATATGATTTCTGATTTTTCACGGACAGTTTATACCAATCGAAAAACCATACTTCAATCAATAGCTCATCATTCTAGAAGAACAGATGATAAAATGAGATTTGAAAAATGGATGTCTTATATCATACCTTAATCTGCCAGAAGGTGCCGAGAAAACATACGTAAAACAGTTGAATTGTTGAAAACAGTACGACTACTACTCCCATGAACCAGTTGATCTGTAATGAAAGGAACATTATTACTGGTATTGAATTCATATAAACTTTGGTTCACCAAAATGACAGCGGTTGCAGAAATGATCATATTAAGAGAAAGACATCCCAGTGTTACTAAGAAATATCCTTTGAAAGTCTTTTCAACACTTGCCATGTACCACTTCAAATGCTGGTTAAGTTTTATGATTTTTGTAAGCTGTTCTGTAGTTCCATGTTCGCTCACATTTCTTTCAATCATGACATTCAGATCTTGAAACATAGCGATGAGTGTGTCTACTTTACCACAACCTGTCAATAAGTAGAGAATGAATGTTGCGTCCGTCGAAACTGTAGCTAGCGCAACATAGGATGTAGTGATACACTGAAAAGGATAGTTAATAAAGTAGGCAGTCCATGTATTGGAGTGGACCCATTCAAAACCATAGGGCAATAGCTTATCTGAGGTAATTATGCTATATAAAACTGGAGCAAATGCCAATATAACGCACAACATGACTGTACTCATTGCAGTCAACTTCAGTACTACATTGGTGAGCATGGCATTCTTGACCAAAGCATTCTTGACGTTGCTAGAGTTGGAACAGTTATCTTCAAAAAATATTAGGTTTAACTCATGTATTTCTGTAATCCTCTTTTGACATATAACGAACAAGTAAATTTTTGCAGACATCTAAAATAGTTGGAAATAGAAATAAAATATGTCATATATTCACAAAATCAAAATAATACTGAAGCTACCTGTATCGAGAATCCGAAAGTAGTGATATTATGCAAAATTTTCTCAATATCATGACGATAATAATATGTTGATGTGGTGAAAAGATAGAAATAGATGACTAAGATCATCATAGTTACCAAGAAAAATAGATTTATTAAATACATGTTCCTGCTAAAACTGTTAAATCCTAAAATTTTGTACATTTTTGCACAGCGTTCTATCATTTCCTGATAGAACTGACCTGCTGATCGAATCTCACGCTGAAAAATGCGATGATTGCCAAGTTTTCTAATAAAATCCATGTTTAAAACTGACTAAATATATGATTGCACTGTAAGTATTTATAACAAAGAATAGTTATGTTATTCCACTGAAGATGTTACATTTTCTAGAATTGAGTTTAAATTATTAAAGTAACGGAACAATTATTTCCGCAGATGCAACAATCTCACACCGTTAGAAGCAGATAATCAATTATCAACCACGAGTAGATAATTGCATAGAACTTCGTGCACATGTCTTATTCACACGATCAAACCACCTACGTAAAGGCATCTAAATCTTAATAATTAAATTCGACCTTTGGCAGTGTCAGAGTTAATAGCGATTACGAGCAGGATTCCCAACTAAAGCATCCCTACACTGCATTAAGAATCGATGATAATTGACCAAGGGAGCGTTGGTAACGGATGATTGATCTGATTAATTCAAAGTCAAAAGGCATCGTTGCATGTGAATGATAGATCTGGTGAGGAGGATGACAATAATTCTCTTGGCAAAAAAAAAATCATAATAAAATTGAACACACCTTTTGTAAGTATTCTGGCACAACCAATCCTGATAAGTAGATATTGTATTTAACGTAGCATTCGTAACTAAATAGCTTCAATGGTCTCCCTTAATGCCGACCCTTCCAAATCCATTTACTTTAAAATATTGCTTAAGAGTTTGAAAGAAAATGTGGTTTGAATTTAATTCTTTGATTCAAATCTTTAAAAGCCTCATATAGGGAGCCTTAAAACTTTGTCAGGCAGAACAGTTGGCCTTATACGATGATTAAGTTGGGTCAACATCCAACAACTGTGCCAAATTTTAACGAATTTGTTTATTAATTTATTATTATTATTATAGTCCATCTGACTTGATAGTCTCAATGAAACACTTAAATCTAAATGTAGGCACTCATAAAAAATTAAAAATCGGCCGACAGCAAACGATGACGAAACCTGGGAGGCATTGATGTCAAAGTCAAATAGGCTTCGTTGAATTGATGAATCATGGCGACAAAGGAACTGTTTGCAACATAGTTGATTGCATGTACTACTTCATGTAGCAAGGTTCTCAGACAGAGTGTTCGGGCAGGAGCATACAGATTAATTTTGACCAGTAACTCAGAAACATCATATTCTGCGAGCAAAACTTTAGCAACGAAGACGACCCTGCGATATGTTTCTTCGCTTAGCAAGAGTATCTAAACCCAGTAAACGACAGCGGTCAGCATACGGTGGTAAATTCAGTGGGTCACTCCATGGAAGATAGTGCAGTGCGTATCTGACGAATTTGCGTTGAACAGCTTCGAATCGTTCTCTCCATACTGCTTGGTAGGGATTCCAGACAACAAACGCGAATTCCAGTAGTGAGCGTACCAATGAACAGTAAAGGGCTTTAAAACACAGAGGATCACGAAATTCCTTAGATATCTTGAACATGAATCCAAGCTGACGATTAGCTTTGTCGATCATGGTTGAGAAGAGGCGAGTGTATGTGAGCTTTTCATTCAACATGACACCGAAGTCTTCAACGTGATTGACACGTTGAGCTGCAGTCCCAGCAACGTTATAATCAAACAAAACGCCAGTTCTAGTTCGACGGAAACTAATTACGCAGCACTTTGAGACGCACAGGACCATAAAATTACGTTCACACCAATCGTTACAGATTTCAAGAAGGTTTTGTAGTTCTAAACAGTCGGCATAGCCTCGAACGACTAGATAAATCTTCAAGTCATCAGCAAAAAACAATTTACCTCCACGTAGTACAATAAACGTTACATCGTTCACAAATAAAGAGAAGAGCAGTGGTCCCAAAGTGCTACCCTGTGGAATTTATGATCTGTTCGAGAAACAGTACGATGAGTAGTTTCCAATGCATACAGTAACTTCACGTTGCACGAGGTACGATTTAAGCCAGCTGCAGTAGGAAACAGAACATCCAATTTTTTCTAGCTTTGATAGCAGAGCGTCGTGCACAACTCTATCAATCGCAGCTTTAAGATCAGTGTAGATGGCATCCACTTGAAGTTTCTTTCATACATTTTCCATACAGAACGACGTAAAGCTGACGAGATTAGTTTCCACGGAGCGGCCAGGAAAGAAACCATGTTGACATGTACTTATGTATTGCTTGTAGGAAGCAAACAATCTGTCACTTATCAGCGACTCAAACAACTTAGATTCAACCCCAAGCTAGGTAATCCCACAGAAGTTTTCCACATTGCATTTGTCTTCTTTCTTGAAAACAGGTAACATAGTAGAGAGTTTCCATAGTGCGGGAAATGTCTGTTGACAGGTTGAAGAGCAAGGACAACGGAGCAGCTAAGATATCGGAGCATTTTTTTTAGGACAGCAGATGGAATAACACTCGGACCTGGTGAAAATGATGATTTAGTTTTACTCATCACAGAGAGAACCATTTGTACATCTACGGCAAAAACATCCATGTTTACGTCGTCGGTTGGCACATCACGGACGGCTCGCTCAATTTCTGCTTGCGATGGGGAGTCATTCGACAAGACGCTTAAGAAGTGCCTAGCAAATAGGCTGCATTTGTCCTCAGTTGTCAAGGCTACGTCATTACCGAGAAACATTTTTGACGGCAGCCCAGCTTTCTTCCTCTTCGTATTCACAAACGACCAGAATCCCTTGGGGTGGCATTGCAGATTATGTTGAGTACGAATTACATATCTCTTGTAAAGAAGCTTGTTGTAGTGACGATAATCATTGCTGGCAATTGAAAAAATTCGCTTGGTAAGAGTACATCGTCGATGAGTGAGAGCACGGAGTGCTCTAGATCGCACGCGTTTCAGGTTGCGGAGAGTAGCGTTAGACCAAGGCAGTTTTCTTGGAGGTATGCACTTCGGTACTGAAGCACAAACACAGTCGCGCAAAAGGCTATTATAGCGACCGGCTGCTGTATCGATATCAAAGTCATTCAACACGTTCCAGTTGATCCGGGACAAGGAACGCCTCAGCAAACGGAAATCGGTCTTCCGGAAATTGAGCCGAGTGGCAGTCATGGTTTCATCAAAACGAATTTGAGATCCATTCGCGATAGATCTATCCAAAGCAGGGAGGAAATTGTCAAGAAGAACGATTACGTCAGGCGCTTCAGCGACGACACAGTCCAGAAGTGCACTTTCGCTAACAAAAACCAAGTCAAGAAAACGAGACTGGAAATTGGGAATAAGGTTTATCTGGCTCAGTTCAACAAGAAAGCGGCTGGCAGGAGTAGTTGAAGATGCAATCGGATCTGGAAACTCATAACCCTGGGCTGACGGTGACCAGCTAAGCTCAGGCTGATTAAAATCACCAAGCAGAAGAAGCACATCCGTTATATCAGCCATGGACGATGCAAATTCTGTAGTATCCAGATGAAGCTGCATTGTGCTGCAGTCATGTCGACGTTCAGGGGGAATATAAACCGCTCCAATGAGGATGTTCCGCGAAATGAGGCTGACCTTAACCCAAACCGCTTCAATTGTAGTAAATAGTTCGTTGGAGATTACGCAGGAGGCGAATGCGTTAGAAACAGCGATGAGGACACCACCACCGCGAGTACGAATGCTGTTGGATGAATTACGGTCTAATCTGTAGACAGTAAAAGAGTCACCAAACAGTTGCACTGAATTGATCCTCCCATCTAGCCAAGTTTCCGTGTATTCATATTCCCCTATGATCTGGATTTGCGGTAAGATCTAAAGAGCAGTGTGGAGCAAAAGGTTGTGATCTGCCATTCAAACTTGAACCACCCTAATTCTCATGCTGGTGACCACATGATGAATATGAACGACGTTAGAAAAAAGCGATAGGGTAAGTGGTGGGTACGGCAAAATCTATGTTCTCACCTTGCATCGAAATAAATTTGATAAGAATGAATATAATGTAAAATAAAGGAGGGCCCATTAGAAGACCAATAGGACAAAAAAACTGGCTCACTTACCCTAGTTCACATTGCCAGATCTGTTTTCCATGATATATGTATAAAATGAATTCACGATTTGATAAAAAAAATGGGTTTACATTTCTTCGTATCCACAGGACACTACCCATTCCGCCGAAACCTGGAAAATATAGGATCAAAATATGGGTTTGTTTGTCAATTCAAGGATATATACTAAACTTGCAAGTATATAGGGCAAGGTGAATTAAATACCCGAAAAAATCAAGCTATGCGGGTGGTTACTGATCTCGTCTCTCCATATTTGCATGAATGGAGAGAGGTATCAGCAGATAATTTTTTCTCATCCATAGACCTCGTAAACTACCTGTGGCATAACAGCACTTTTTATACAGAAAAAGGTGAGATCAAACAAACCCTTCATTCCACCAGAATTTCATATATCAAAAGGACGACAAGCTAATTCAACCATCCAAAGATTTAGCGGATTTATTACCTTGACGTCATATTTTGAACGCAAGTGCAAGAAGCCCATCGTATTCTTTACTTCAAAGAGGATCCAGGAAACAGATCCTCGAATTGCAAAACCGGATGTTGTGCAATATTACAACCATACCAAGGGTGGTGTCGATGCAAGAGATCAAAGAACGAGAAATAAAACCGTTGCAAGGAGAAGTCCATTGTGGAGAAAACAAATTTTCATTGAAATTATGAACGCATATACCTATATGATTTTTATTGAGCTGAATCCAAATTGGGAAAACTCGAATCTTAGCCGACATTCCGAATTTTTGCGAATTCTTTCAGAAAAACTGTCGATGGAACAAATGGAGAACCGATTGGCAGCTGGTCACCTTCCACAAGACGTTAGTGATGGAATTCGGAATCTTCTATTGAAATTCACACATTGCATAGCATGTGGAATAACAGCAATGATAAAATACCAATGAGGACA